CATAATATCTAGAAATATATTTGTGTTAAGTATGAAACAAACATGAAGTTTTATACTGAACTACAGTATATTAAATGGTGCAGTTTGAAAAAGTTAGTTGCAGTTCTGAAATGCAGGTATGCATTCAATGTAAACAAAGCACTCAGCTTAATCCAGTGACAACATTGTGGATGCATGAGTCACATGATTGATGTATTAGGTTGGGGTTAGATACATGTAATGACTGACTTATTTTCAGTCTCTTAAAACTTGTTTTTGTTTGTTTTTATAATCTCAGCTCATCCATAAGATCATAGATCTGGGTTATGCCAAGGAGTTGGACCAAAGCAGTCTTTGCACATCATTTGTGGGAACTCTACAGTACTTAGTAAGTGATTAAAGTGAACATGTCCACACCTGATTTCCTCCGAACACTTTAACACTGAGCTCGACGTCTCCTTATCTGCTCCCAGGCTCCAGAGCTCATAGAGAGGCAGAAGTACACCGTCACTGTGGACTACTGGAGTTTCGGCACGTTGGTGTTTGAGTGCATCACAGGATTTCGTCCTTTCCTGCCAACATGGCAGCCTGTTCCCTGGTAGGGCTGGTTGACAGAAATTCAGCTTATTTATTTATTGATTTATTTATTGATTATCTGTTTGCTTTAACTTCATTTAAGAAACATTTTTAATAAAAACCATAGGGAGACAACACATACTGAGCTTTTGTTTCACATATTTATATTTTTTTCCCTAAACAAATACAATGATCTAGAGTCCAAAAGTAATAGGAAACTTTAACTTTTGTACTACCTTCCCCTTTTTGTCARGATTCCGCTACAGTCAGAAATCACTTAGCAGAGCAATATTTTCTTGTGTTAACCCTGATAAACTTGATTTGAAGGTAAATATTTTTACATGATTATTGGACTTGAGCTCACGTTTAATGTAAATAAACATCAGTTTCCAAAGAATTGGAGGATATGTGGACTGGGCCAACATTAATGCCTCTCCCTAATTCCTCCTGCCTGCGATGGGAGTCTGGGGACTTAATTTAAACGCAGGAGTACATACCTCCTTATCATTACAGGAGAACATAGAGATAATATGTCACTGCTAAGAGGACATGAAAACAACCAACTTAAAAGGATTTTTTAATGTGTCGTTATAGGCACAATAAAGTCAGGCTGAAGCAGGACAATGATATTGTTGTTTACGAGGATCCCTCCGGAGAAGTTCGTTTCTCCAAACATCTGCCCCAGCCCAACAACCTCAACAGGTGATTTTACATGCAACTGACACACAAACACGTCTGCAACGTGCTCATTATCTAATGCGATAACTGCTMGTTGTCAGTCTTTTGTTAGAAAGGTTGGAGAGGTGGCTGCAGCTGATGTTGAAGTGGTCCCCTAAGGAAAGGGGCAAAGACAGCAACGCTACGCCCGGAGACTGCTTCTCCCAGCTGGACTTCATACTGCAGCTCAAGGTTAACGGGAAAAACTCCACACATACGATCATTTGAGTCAAAATATGATTATTTTAAAGTACCTTATTGTGCATTAAACCAATTTAGCATGTGAATGGTGGTTTCCTTTTGAAACCGAACTACTCCTGCAAACTTTGTCCTGTATTTTTTTTTGTATATAATATTATATTAAAGTAGCAAATAGTCCAGTTCATTCAGGAGATGGGTGCTACGAATTTTAGTTTTTGTAAATTTTATACTTTTCAATGTATTTAACTCTTATTCCCTCATATACATACAACAATAACTTTTCAAAAATGTTTCTCTTTAAAATCTGCTTCAGTATGCTGGCTATATTTTTGTTACTTTTTGCTACTCTTCCTAATTTTAGCTATAAGCTAACCTTTGRTATATGGAGCATTTAGTTTTTAGCTTAAGATGAAATGAGATAAGATAAGATAAACCTTTATTGTCCACCAAGGTGGAAATTTTCTTTTGGCTCTCCAGACGTGCAGTAAAACACATTCATACAAAAGTACATACATACAATCATAATTTCAAAAATTTAAAATGTAAATAAAAACAAAAATAAAAACCCTTAACATATCTATATATATTTTGATACTTTTAGCTACTGCTATTCTAATTTCAGTTTAAAACTAGGCTTTCACCTTATTTAGCAAGCATTTTGGTACCATTGGCTAATCTCGTGCTACTTTTCACTTGTGTTTTCCTTGTTTTAACTTAAACTTTCAGCTTCAAAAAATTTTGTTTAGCGCTCAGCATTCAAAATTAGAAAATACCCGTTCTCTAGTTTGAGTTTTTTAAAGGGTTAAACTTTTTAAACTTAAAAGTTTGATGGAATATTAAAAGGTCGCACGTGATATGGTTTTTAAGAAGAAGGCGTAAAACTGCTCCGACCTCACGCTTCCTGTTCTCTCTCCCTTCTCTCAGCTGGTTCATGTCCTGAACATGATGTCTGCTAAAATCCTGACCTACGTGGTAACAGAGGATGAGACGGTGGCCGACCTGCAGCTGAGAATAGAAAAAGACACCAACATCCCTGCAGCCAACCAGGAGCTGCTGCTGGAGGCGGGGTTAGCCCTGGAGCCTCACGCTGTGGCCACGCAGTGCGCCGTCGATTACTCAGTAATCCTGCCTCARGGTCACCCCGTAAACATCTGTCTAAATATTTACCTTCTGGATGTGAGTCACAAAGGCAGTTTAATCTGTGTCTGTAGGAGGTGGATGGGCGTCGAACAGATCTGCCCCTGGTCTTCCTGTTTGARTGCTCCTCTTGCACTTATGAACCCCAGTTTGCTCCTCGAACACTTCCTGAAAACATTCGCTTTGTCCGTAAGTTGTTTTTTAAATGTTTTTTTCATGCTTACGTCTGGGAGCTGAAAAAATATCCAAGGCAAAAATCACCTGATACCAAAAGGCAAAGGCAGACAATTGTTGTTGTTTTTTTGTCTGTATATGTGTGTATTTGTATGTTTTAAAATATGAACCATTGAATGAATTTTAATGAAACCTTTAGGTAACAGTCATTAAATGAACAGTAACTGTTTGGGTCAGTCCAATTCAAGATGGCCACCACATCCCATCAATATCTTCAAAATGTGATAAACGTAAGTCCGCTGTTGGCTCCCTGTCACATCTGTTCTGGTCATGCCCCAAACTCTTCCAGTATTGGTGTGATATTTTCAACCAGTTTTTTTGAGGTGTATAAATGCAAGCTGGTTCCAGATGCCCAGATTGCATTGTTTGGATATTCTCCTTCACTTAGGAACCACAGCATTTCTATGCAAACGACTGTGGGGTATGGAATGGTAATTGCTTAGAAAATAATATTAAGATTGTGGAAAACTGAAAAGCTTCCTCAGTTCAAAATGGGGTGAAGTGATTTTACTGAGATTCTTCAATTGGAGAAATTGCGGTATGATGTTGTGGGCTCCACTAATAAGTTCTGTAGTATCTGGCAGCCGTTTTTGGACCATCTTTCTCAGTCCAAGTCTGATCCCGATGCTCCTTCAACCTCTTAGTATGCCACCCGTGCCTTTAGAGACAGATAGTACAATCCTAAAGAGTAAATGGTAACCAGTGCACTGTAACCAGTTATTTAGATAATTGCCCTGACTTGTTTATATTTTATCTTTAGTTATTGTATGTTTT